CCCCCCCCCCCCCCCGCCCCTTTCCACCTCACCACCACGATGATCATCACGAGGATTAAACTAAACGTCGCTCTTATTGCAGTAAACACCACGCCACACAACTGCCATCGGCCCGGCGCCACTCCACCACCACCACCACGATAATCACTAGGACTACGAGCAGCAATCATTTTTGTAACACCAGGGCACTGGCGTGGCTCCCTCACCACCACGGCGAAAATCCTAGGACTAGAAGGTCCAGAGTGCTGAAGACGACCAGTAGAACATAGTCATTCGCATTAGCTATTCCCTTCGCAAGTACTATCGCCGCTGGCTAGAGATGACGACTGATTCGTTTGAGGTCTGCAGTTGTCAGCCAACCTATGGTAGATGTTGTGTGATACTGAAAAAGCCTACTGCTCGATTCTTCTGTACTGCACGCAGGTCTTCATCTTCTTGGGGGATTCCATCAGCCGACGGATCGCCATCTACCTCTCCACTCCTAGCCTCTCGCTGGTGCTTAAGCGGGTTAGGAGATAGCCGACAGAGTTTGCAGGGTTCTTAGTTTGGAGAGAGTACACCTTGGTCGGGATGGAATATTGGCGCTTTTGTTGGCTTCTTTTTGAAAATCTAGAGCTTCCCTCTTGAAGCACTGACAAGGCCTGCGGCGGCGCCTCTTCTTCCTTGGGACGGCTATGGCCTGCATTGGCCTCGGCCTCTACTTGGAATCCTTGGCCATTGCCATCATCATCCCCTTTGCTATCTTCCTGGTGCCCGGGTCAGTCTTAAGATGCAAGTTTGGTAAGCCTCAACGGTCCCCTTCATATATAATTACCCAAGAAGGTAGGAGCCTTTTTATAGAGACCGCAACAGGGAGCTCCTAGCTTCAAGCAACCAATGTTTGACTCGCAGCTCTCCTAATCAGTATCCAGTGAACTCAGAATTTCAAGAACTGATGAGACTCCAGGTCTTCTGGGGGAATGGCACTATCTATGGCCTGACGGCAAACCACATAGACAAGCATGTGCCCACGGAGCATAATCTGGCATCCTACTCCTTCTGGTGCTTCGTGGGGGACCTGGGTGCCGTCCTGGGAGGCTGGATAGAAGCCACTATCTATAGCTTCCATTTTCTTTTCCATTATCCCTAGTATATAACATCCCTATATATACCCTATGTAATATAGTGGTTTCCATTTTATTTTCCATTATCCCTATATGATCCCTATATATACCCTATATAATACAGTGGTTTCCATTTTATTTTCCATTATCCCTATAAAACCCCCATATCAGCCCTCTTCTACGAGGGGTTATAGTGGGCTTAGGAGCGCGGGTTTGCCGTTTAAGTTGTAACGGCCTGTCATGGGACAGTATTCCTGAGGATTGTAGGCTTTTCTTGGCATGGGGTTCGGGTATAGGGCCCGAGGAAGCATTTTCCAGCCCCAGACCACTACTACACGAGTTAGGGTAAAGGGCCATTCCATGAACCACCAGAGGATCATAGATTTGAGACTACCCCGAGGCATTTTGGTGGACAGGACGCATGACCTCTTCTGCAGAGGCCATGAAGGGCCCTTTGAGTGCTGAACCTGCAGCTTACCGGACGAACGCATCGGTAAGCGAAGAGAATTCCAAATCTGCTTCTGGGTCTCTGTAGGCTGAACTTCTGTATTGATATCAGTGCCCCAGGCTTTCAGCTTTTCTGTTACGAAACGGCAAAGATGTTCCAGCCTGAAAAGGGAACCCTTTTCCCCCAAAATTCTGGGGGACCTTGTTTTCCAAATTCAATTTTGACCCTGCTTGCATCGGCAACCATGGCGAGTGTAGTGGCAGTGTCAGGTCTCCGGGTACAGACCGGAGTCTGCATGCCAGCAAAAGTTAATCCCGTCCCCCTCAGAATACCACCCTCGACACCTCCGAATGAATATTCTGAGTGCAGTATCATTAATTACATCGCACATAGGGTTAATAGGCATTATAACCAAATTGGGTGGGGGGGGGTTTTATTAGGGGGAGGCGATTCCTGTCAGATATCTCTGAGCCAGGCCTCTCTAAACAGAGTTTGGGATGTGGAGTAATCAGGTTGCTGGGGGAGATTATTATTACTCTTATTACTATTAGTCTTAGTACTTTTATTCTTAATATTGCGTAGGCATTCAGCTTTGTTTAGGGAGACCTAGTTTGTCCAAATCTGAAACTGCGAATTCACGCCGAAGCCGCAGCGATCAACGGATTGCTGCTGCAGCTTAACGCTTAATGCCCCGGCCAACAGTGCTGGGATTAGAGGTGTAGAGATGGGTTTGGGTCAACACCAGGCTTGGAGTTTTTGCCTTAAAGCTACCGTAGAGAGGCTTATGTACAGGGGCAGTAAAAACGAGGATGCAAAGTTCTCTGTTCTTCTAATCGCGCCTGCGGTCTTGAGACACGCCCAGACTGCGTGCCAAGCGACTGTAAGCTTTCGCAGCATCTCTCAAAAAGCAGAGCTCATGCGACTTCTGAGATTTGGGAGAAAGCATCTAGGCGTAAAGGTGCAGGGTTGAGGGATGGCCCGGATGCCAAAAAGGGCAGGGAGAGCGACTCTTGCGAAAGAGTTTATTGTTAAGGCCAAGATGTCATCACAATCAAAAGCATCAGAATCAGGCAAAGAATCATGATATTGACGATGTACCAAGCAAAGTTGGGCAAAAGTGATGGTCCCATACTGGGGGGTTACCCTGAGTCATGTCGACCTGTGACCCTGGGCGAGCAATCTGAAAGGGTATCAGGATTGTGTTCGCATCCATGCAGTCACTTGTTCTAGTCGCGCCTTTGTTTTCTCGTAAATCCACTACTGTTCCCTGAGAGATGCTCTGAGCTGTTCTCATTTTATTGCCTTGCTGTCTTTCATCGCCAGATGCTTATTCCTCACCAGGCACAAAGAAAGCGAATCATCTGTCTTCAGACTTAGCCTCCCCCCTTCACTCCGCGTGAACCCTGGACGTTGAAGCTGGAACTCTGTACTGTAAACCCGAAGCCTTACATCCCAAATCCCTTGACACCAAATCCCTAAACACCCAGAAAATTAAAGCCCGAAAGCCAACTCTCACTCAACCGCAAGGCTCTAAACCCCGTTTCCATTGTCTTTTCCATTATCCCCATGTAACCCCTAAATACTATAGTAGTTTCCATTTTCTTTTCCATTATCCCTATATAACCCCTGCAATAATATGGTAGTTTCCATTTTCTTTTCCATTATCCCCATATAACCCCTAAATACTATAGTAGTTTCCATTTTCTTTTCCATTATCCCTATATAATCCCTGCAATAATTTGGTAGTTTCCATTTTCTTTTCCATTATCCCCATATAAACCCTGTAATACTATGGTAGTTTCCATTTTTCCATTATCCCCACGTAACTCCTATATGGCCCTGGTGTAACCCTAGTTTAACCCTAATATGACCCTAGAAGAACCCTAATATAACCCCTATATAACACACCCCCAAAGTCCAGGAAGCTTCCCTGCCCTCGGTGCGCTCCGCCGGCTGCTTCGTGGGCGAAAGGCGCCTGCTGCGTCTGTTGCTTGGCAAGAAAAGGCATATGAGCCATAGTCTAAACTCCTCAAAGGGGGTTGTATGGGGGATTATAGGGGATTATACAGGGTCCCTACTATAGGGATTATGAAGGGGGATGCTAGGAGTTTAGACTATAGCTCATACCGCATCTCTAGTAGGGGAAAAGGGGAGGCCACGGTTTGAGGGTTTAGGGTTTAGGGTTGGGAGTAGACGCCATGATAAGCCCATAGTATCTCTATGAAAGTACGTACTTATCAGAGTACTACAGAGCGAATGTGGGTTATATGCTGGCCGATTAACAGCAACCTCACCTGCCTGATCCCAAATGGTGGTTGGATATAGATCACAACTTTCAGGATTCGCAAGTATTGCAATTTGGCCCGTATATGAGGACATATACTGTTCAGGGCTTTCTAGAGTTTCTATAAGGATATATTTTCGAGCTTTCTGGGACCGATATAAGGATACGAAATTGTGTGGAAGATTTACGGCTTTGGATTATGCTTCAGGCCTTCCAAGAATTAGAGGTCCCTTTTTGGGTGTCCTTTTAATGAGGGCTATCGTATTTTGGGGTATGCAAGAACAACACCGATTTCCCGCCCAATTTAGGACTTTAGTCTGAAGTGTTGAGGGTTTTGAGCAACTGGCGTTCCGGAAAACAACCTTGACATACACGCAATGCCGGAAGGAGGACCTCCATAATCCCTTCGTAGTCGCTACCTTTAACACGTAATCATCAGCCACGCAGCCATGGTCCCCAAATAATTATTGTTTTTATGGAGAAAATGTGTTTTGAATATGGTCCCGAAAATCTGAAATTGGAGACCCCCACTTGGACAATTACGTTAAGTAATATGGCTGCAGACATGTTTGAAGAAGCCTACCATGTTGGATGCGCATGTGCTTGTGTGGACCCAGGAAGCATCTCAGTCAGAGGGTGATGTTGGTGACAACAAATTGAGCAGTTTCATCAGTGTCCGTCTGTCTCAGAAGGAATCTTCATAACTCTCACTCAATTTGTTGTTCCTCAAAAACTCAAGGAGAAGATTTGCAGGGCAGCGTTTGGGTGGATTTGGATTGCATTTAG